GACTTATCGTCCTGAACACACAAAGGCAGTAAAAAGTAACGCGGGTAGCTAGTAACAGAGGTATTCTACTCTCATCTGGCCCCTTAATCGGGTGGAAAATGTGGCCAAGAGATGTGAGCGGCCGGAGCGAGATCTCGCGAGGTTTGAGAGCTAAGGTCCGTTCCTTATCCCGCTACGTCGCTGGCGTTTTAAATCTTGAAATATTATCCTAGCTAAGATTGAGTTTGTACAACTAATACAGGAGTCGCCGTTATCAGAAAATTGCCGATGACACAAAGATACGCAACACCTCGGAATGATAGAGGCTTGATGATTGAATGGCGAATTTGAAACATGGGAGTCTCATCCGACCTGTGGGATAAAGGGATTAACAGTTGTGAACCATACAGAGCTACAGACATACTCCAGATAGGGAAGGCTGTCTTAAAGAATTGCCCCCCATACGTAATTGTGGTTGTTATCGGTATAAACAAGTCTAGTTGACCTAACAAATGTATGACGCCTGCCTCTCCACAGGGGTCCTTCTTTCTGACTATAAACACGATCATAGAATAGCACACTACAAAACCATCCATGTTGAATATCACCAAGAACATAAAATATTGGCTGACAGTTGCAGGATGTTGCTCCACAACCGGTGCCGCCAGAACTATTCGTTTTGTGTAGTTTTCTTAAAAAATTATATAACAGTAAAAAATCTAAAAATATCCGAAGTTTCTGAGTTAGGAAGATGAAATGCTATTTGTAAATTACAAACTGGTGCACGAACCTAGTATAACCGTCGAGGGCGTGTGGACGTTGGACGAACATGAATACATGACATGTTTTATGGATTACATAATAAAAAGAAGTTGTTTTCCATAAAACGTGTCAAGTATTAATGTAGACATCAACTGAAGACTACTTATGTCTTTTGCATCGGTTACAGTCTTAGATAGACTTAACATAGCAATAAGAGTGTGCCTTTGAAAATTATTTCCCTTAACATTTGTTCCTTTATGACTTATAAGCATTTACTGTTCAAGAGATGTTGCCCTACGGAAATTACATACAAGAATTAATTATATGTTTTCCTTGTATTTAGAATAGTTGTCAAGGCAACAATTTTGATCAGCGGAATTCGTGTGAAGACTGAAGGTGTACTATCAACATCGTGTTAAAACTTACAGGTGAAATTAACAGTAATCTCCTAGTTTACAGTTAGGGGAAATTCAGCATTCTTAACAACTAATTAAATCTTGATGCTTAGCAGATGATTGAGGAGTTGGTCGAAATGCTGAACCGATGTTTAACGGACTTAACTGAGGCAGGGACGAGAGTGACCGGAGAACACCGAGACGTGATTGTTTATTCTGCTAAGTGACGGTGTAATTGGCCTCGGTAATTGACGTGTCACCACAAAGCATCGCCGTGTCAATTAGTGACGAAGTGTTAATTACTGTAAACATGCTAAATGAAGACACGCTCGTTCGACATGGTGCTTTGTGGGTTTATCAAATTTATGATCTTTTTACTGTGCTAAACAAACAATTTTATCTTAATTTGTTGTTAAATAAGCTAATGATGGATTTGACACTTCCAAAATGGACGTCACTGAGTGGTTTACGAACACTATCTCCAAGAATTAACAGAACTTGCAGCATTAAAATTTGAGAAACAATAAATGTACTCATACTGCCCGGTAGTAGAGTTATGCCCCGAAAATCGAACCCGTTTCTTTGAACTCCTGGATGACAGAGAAACAGTAAGAATTTAAAAATGTCTTCCAAAACACGAAATCTCAAATACGTTCCTAATGAAATAAGTATTTAAATGGAGAAATCATTCAACGATTAAAATTCAATAAATTCAGTTGTTTTTTTCGGAAATTATTTTCACATCCAAGCCTCAAATTTCAATACAAGTGTGGTACCATCTTACATAATTGCTCTGAACCTGCCCAAATAGTCACGACGTTTAACAACAACCTTTAAGAGAGTACAGGTCTCATAAATAGAGTTATGAAAGTTTTCCAGTTTTGTTTGTTCCTATCATCACAGCCGGTTTGAAACTTTGACCCTCTATCCAATACAATAAACTTGTTAATAAACAACCGCCGCTTGTCTGGATAGAAGTATCGTATTTGAGGATCCGACTTTGAAAGCTACTTGTCCCCCTGTCACTTTATGTCAATGGTTATTGCATAAGAGGGGAAGGAATACATGTCAATATCACACAGCCATGACGATATCACTTATATATACGACCCAGCTACTTCGTAGGGCAATAAAGGTAATATTTCTGTGTATGGACTAACGTTTTCAAGTAATTGCAGTTTTCAAACGTATTACGCGGACTGTCCAAAGGAAAATCATTTATAAAATCAGTTATTTAGATGAAGGCACGTTTGAAGCAGATTCAGTCGACGTAGTCTGGATATATATTAAATATGTAAAATAGCATACATGCATACAAGATGGATGGTGGATTGGGTGTAAATAAAAGGGGCGAAATTCTTGGCTCGTTACATCACAACGGGTGCCAGTGGTAGTTATATTTTCATCCTCCCACCATTAGGTAGTGATACAGTGACTCTACAGTAAGTTGTATATGTTTGAATTATGAATATATACATATAATATATATAAGTAACATACTATGATAAAAGGGTAAAGACAGAATATTATTTTATCTCAAAGTGACTCAAGGGATCCGTCCTTTCGCATTTGTGTGGAACTGTTTGAATATAGCAAAGAAAGAAACACAACTTAAAGAAGGCTTCCTGAACACTGCTAACAAAGCTCCTTTGCGTTCTCGATTCAACACTAGAATGTATTAAAAATGCCAGGAATAAAATTAATTTCTGAAACGCAATTTTCTATAACATACACATCCGTATTTGTTTAACCTGTCCTTTGAGATTAAGTGATTATATTTACATGACACCATAAAGAATCCTTCCTATTGGAAAAAATAACAGAGTTTAAGTGTTTGTGACTTTAATGGTGTTATTAATACGCTACAAAATGACCCTCACTTAGTCAGGGGAAACCAAAGAGCTCACATATTGTTTTAATTTTCCGAGTACAATTATTCTTTGTAACGGCGAGCCGGTGTAGGATTACATGGGAGTATAGGGCAAGACATTTGAGAGTAACGACTCCGATTCTCACCAAGATGGACAAATTTCTCTGAAATTTACACTGGTTTAATTAACACCAGAGAGGGAAATGTATGGGAGAGAGCAAGAGCGTCACAGGGATACGTTACACAGCGTGTTGGTTCTCTGATGGATTGCGTTTCACGTCAATTATAAACTAAATTGTGCAAGTCTCTAATAACCTGTAAAACTGACCTTGGGACTTCAAGGCTGTTTACCCCAGCACTAATTAAGTTTGAAATGGAATAGGCTTCACAAAAGACCCATTCACCAAGTGTGTGGTTATACATGCGTAAAAATATTTCCCAGTTTGAAATGTAACCAAAATGAAAAGATCCCGTTTATTTAATTTTCAAACCAACGTCGCACATATTAGGAAACTGTTTGCGCCGATAACAGACTTTAAACAATACACATCCATTGTTCGTTGATATTTGCAATAACCTAAATCTGAAAATTATGAATTTGATCCGTTGATATGGTCAGCGATGAGAAATATATTATCATGCTCATTTGAAAGATGCATCAAGAGAGAGGGTCTTGGAGTATTTATATCCACTTTGCTTTTTTTTCATGTACATGTTAAAAATTGTGGCTTTCAAATAGATATAATATTTTTGTTTTTCTACTTCAAGAAACACCCCATAAGGAGATATCCGTGCCGGCCCGTGCTAACGAGCGCGTCGAATGACAAGTAAAATATATACATGCCTAACAGATAAACTGGTGTCCTATTTCAATCCAGCTGCTCGTTTTATCTTTCATTTATAATAATTTACTCAAATTGTGAGTACAGGAGCCTCGCGTTTATCATTTATCATATTTATTGATGTTTAGATAAGATTACCGGTTCCAATAGGGGAAATCAATGTTACCTTTGCTATTGTTTTAAACACATTTCACAAACTAGGTATTGAAACCTAGAGAAAAGATGCAACGGAGTGTAAATCGTTAACATTAGTGAAGAATTATGAATTGTATTGAACCTATGAAACCTTGGACGGAAACAATATCCTTTTAATTGTAACATAAATCTTATTTTTTGGCAAAAAGTCGCCCCGACATGTGCAATAAATTCAACTATTTCTTTTTGTAATGTTTTGCTTTCTCTCTACGGTGCAGTGAATATTTCAGAAATATTCTGTAATCACAAACCAAAGCCGACTTGATATTCACGACATTTCGCCCCACGGGATATTTACTTCGTTTCAAAATCACCCATGGGGGCACTAGATCCTTCTTTGATTGGAAATGCAGCTGACTTTGCGAAACAAACGAGATTGGCTTTCAATTGAGGTTAAAGGGTCTTGAAAACTTTGCCTAAAGACGTTCAACGAAATCCAAACTTTTTGCGTTGCTATGAAGACATTATTGTTGAACGTTTTCGTAACGGAAGACATTGTAACAAGCCTTAAATAGAATTTGAAAAGCCTAACTGACAGCTGCAATCTTTAGATTTTGTTCTGAAAAAAGTAAGGATTTGAACAAATGTCGAGAAGCGTTTGATGACTAACGCTGCGAAAGGCCATAATTGAACGGACCATGGATTCCTATATGGTAATTATTAATCAACATATATTACTTCACCTGTAGATTACCTATTTTCATTCTAATATCCGTCCTAAATCTTATAAGTAAGATCACAATGAATTTTTAAGCATGAATACGGAACTAAATCGATATACATAATCGATATCTACTCGCATTGATAAGTGATTTCAGATATATACACCTACAACGGACAGGTGCAGTATATTCATGATTATGATATTGGGGGAAAACTATTTCACGACCTCAGCCAAATATATGTTTTAAGGGAATAATGTAGATTAAATAAAAGGAATAAATAAAATTGACTAACCGTAGAACTCACCGGGTCCAACTCGTCTAAATCCCTGTTGCAGTGCCATGTTGTTGAACGTATTCCACGGAGACAACTCGGGGCTCATGTAGGTGGGGTAGGGATTAAGGCCGCTGGGTCGGGAAAGTGGGGTGCCGAAGCTACTGTCTGTCCTCCCCGTGGGGTAGAGATGGGTGAATTGGCTGAAGGACTGAAGGCAAATCTCGGCGACACTTGGGGATGTGTATTGGCAGTGCTGTATGCCATACTGTCAGCTTGCATACCCCACATAGCGGGGGAGCTGGGGGAGGTGGCTACCTGACCCGTCCCGTTACTGTACCCCATGGGTGGTAGGACTGCCCGGGTGGTAGGGACATACACGGGGCTGGTGCTGGACTGGAGGTAGGAGTTGGGTGGGTTTTCATGGGGGTAAGGCGGCGCCGACGTGGGCATGGCCATAGAGTGCATGGAGTTCTGGAACATGGCTGCTTGTTGGCGACTGACAATGTTGGGGTCGTGAGATGTGACACTGGTGGTGCCCGGAGCGGGACGGTCGAGGTAGTTGAAGAATACTTCTACGTCTTCACTAGGGAGAAGGGGCCCGCCGGATCCTTGGTAACTGCCGAGGGTGAGGCCAGGCTGCATACCCCGGACACCGAGGGTTCCTTGAGCCGGGCTGTGGGGGGTCGGGGGAGAGATGCCGGAGGGGTGACGAGCCTCGGTGCTTTCTACAGGAGAATGTTCTTGTGGTTCTTGCTTGACCGTTGGGTATGAGGGGGGTACCCAGGGAGACTCAATCTGTGCCATGTAACTCCATGCGCGTGTCCCGGGGGCAGGGGATGAATTCGAGGAATACAGATCGTCACACTAGCTCCACAGTGCAGTCAACAAATGTTCACCTCGATGATCTCACGACAAATATGGCGCTCAAATCCAAACAGTCATAAACAACTTGAGTGTACCTGATAAACCTTGAGCGAACCGTGCAGCGGACAACTGGTGTCTAGAGTCACCGGACCCACAGTATATACCCTGGGTGAGGAGATGAGTAGATGTAAAAGCACTGTCTTCACAGGGTTACCTGTAATTAAAAGAAAAGCGGTAAACATCAAAGAAAAACAAACAGATGAACAGCAATGTTTTCATAACTTCCGTCTTAGGACGAATGAAGACAGTCAGGTAAACAATAATCGCAATAAAAACAGCCAAAGAGGCTTCACCTACTGCTCAGTCGGTGTGTGTCCTACCATTGACAACATCAAAGAATAATGACGGGCCATGATTGGTACTTGATCGTACTTGACCATTGAAACACAGCATTAATTACCAAACACACACTGATTAAGACCCATCAAAAGTAAAACACACTGGCAGTGAATCCGGAGAGGTGCTCCCTTTTAATCCTGCTCTAGCGAATGATCCGGACATCCTATAAGCAAGGAAAACACCCCCCGCCAGTCATACGGGTGAGTGGAAGGGGGTCTGACAGATCTCCATCCTTGTTCCTGTATTTCCCCATTGCACAGCAACACAAACGCTGCACATATGAACACGTCCAAACACAAGGATCGAGCACACAAAACAAGAGTCCCATCAGAACTCCTTCCGAAATATTTTGAAATGCTATCCACAAGCCAAATAAATTGCGGAGTAACAATAACATATTGAGAGAGCGGGTCTCGACTGGCGCAACACGGTAAAGCAAGCATTTTCATACCCACCTCCTATTATCTGTAGCAAAACACTGTAACTTATTGCGATAATATACCGATATGATAAGCTCGATGTAAAATGAAATCCCGACTAGCGGCTTGGCTGAGGACTGGTTCCCGTATCTCTGGGTGGAGATACCGACGTTAAACAACACGCTGGTAATTAACTAGTCCCCGATAATGACACAGCCTCTCCTCGAAGAGACCTGCCCCTTTCGCCGACCAACTTTATAACTAGAATTCAATAACAGATTTTTCTCTCCTCACCAATTTTTTTATCGTCTTCCTTCGTCAAGGTTCGTTTGCATCCTCCGTAAGTTTTGTTAACATTCGCATCACAACCTCCTTCAACGTTCGTCTCTATTCCTCTTCGTCATTAAACCTTCAAAATATTTGCCAAAAGAACGGACTGTTCCATTTCGTCAATAGGGGCGTTGAATATAGATGTGTAACAGGATTATTCCAAATACAACTTCAAGTTATAATATCTGAACCAGATAGAAGTATTTGAAAGTAACAGATGCAAACACGAATTGATAAGTGAACTTTGTCCAAGGATTGATATATAAATGTCGACCACACTCCCGCCCTTGCCCCTTATCGAGAAAGTAGGCCGGCCCATATGAAATGCCGCCTCTGATTTGACGTTAGTATTATCAGATAGCCCAACCCCTAACGCCAGTCAAACGCCAGCATCGGGCCTGGTGGTAAGAGACGACGGTGCAAGCACAATACATTCTCTACTATCATACCAAAATGTTTCATGTAAAACATCTGACGAACGTTTTCATTCCTAAATTTCAAGAATCAAAGATATCAATAATCTTTAGATTACACATTAATCGTGACTTTAAATATACACATATCTAAGATGTATATAAGAAAGATTATCACTAACTATTCCTACTGGTCTACGAACCGTATTCTAACTGACATGCACACAAAATATGAACAGTTATTAATTTCCATCCTAATAAATATACCGTTTGCTAGATCGGCGTGAACCTGATGGATGACTATGGCGATTAAATCCGCTCATCAGCTGAAAATGGCATGTTTGTGGTATATTTTCCATTATTTATATTCCAGTATTCCCGGGGATTCCCTGGATGTATACCGAGATGGTCGCCATACAAAACATCAGCGGATGCCACGTCGCATGATTATGAACATGCACATTGGGTCATAAATATTCTCCCAATTAGATAATCTAGTTCCTGATTACATTAATGATATTGAGCAAATAATTTGGGGCTAACCCACCTTTAACGCAAAGACCATAATCCTAAATACGTTTATTAAAAATGTTATTTAAATAGAAACTGGATAACAAACGCAGTCTGTATGTTTCGATTAATGCAATAGTGAATTTTCCACATTGAGAGCCTACACAGACGCTTCGTCAAAATTGTATATAAAACGACAGAAAATGTACCTCCGTCACTATACATATCGGCTAAAAGCGGAGTCATGAGCGGATGTTCGTCATCCAGAGTACCCATGGATTATCCATACTATCTTGTAATCACCAGGATTTGGATTATCTTAAAATATAAACATATGTGTACCGCTGTGATTGAGTTAATTGACATGACTTGAAGTTGAATATATTAGAATTAAGAATACGTACATACTCCGGTTTTATTTTTGTGTACTGTTTTGAATGTTGTCAGTGCATTTTTGAATGAGGTAACAACTCTTGAACGGAATTTATTCTATACATTCCCTGACTTGGTATTTGAAGCTGTGACACTGATTCCGCGCATGCTGTAATCCTCCCCAGGTGTTGTATGTCATGTACATGTAGAAGTAAATACTAGAAACCTTTTTATTTATTCAGTTAGAAACAAATTCAAGAAAAAGCCATCAGCTGTGTCATACACAATTAGCTTTATCAACGGATGTGCTTAAATTCATGCTTTTAAATATAATTTGATAAACTTCTCGAGACTAAAGAATAACATTGAGCCCAGATTAACTGTGTTATTGTTTCACAATCATCTAGCCAAATGGTTGGAGTAAAAAATACATATTAAAAAAATTGGATATTCGTCGAAATGTTTTCTTTTACTTTCTTGCATTGCCTGTTTTGTAGATCCAGGCATTCGGCAAAATATACAAAGTTTGAAATGAGATAAAAAAAATCAATTTGTGCACGTGCATATTACAAGCGCGTGGGTCGGAGATAAACGGCGCTAGCGCGACGTTTACAAATATTATGATGTATGTGCTATAACATTGATGCAATATTTGTGACGTTGTCAGATGCAGTGCCTGATGCAACGAGAGGCAGGAAGCGGGTCTCATTAACATCCCCGATAACGCAGATACGGACCTTAGAATACAGATCCAAAGAGATTCTTCGACATTATATTCACAACTGCCTTCACACACGTAAATATTTGAGCCGGCCTGTCGACTAATGCCGGCAACTTTAATTGCGAGTGGAAACTAATGCTGCGCGCGCATGTAAAAATTGCGGTTCGTGTGTTCGTGAGATATCTTTCTGTTGTAGGTGGTAGGAAAATAAACCATCATCTCCTTGTGCCATTAAACGATATACATTTTCTGGTTTGTTGAAGATTATAACTGAAGATAAATTTATCAGATAATTGTGTTAAAATTTCCTTATAAACATCCGGACTGTTTTTTATGTGCTTATTTTAAAGATTTTAATTTTTAAAGTTTAGAGTAGCTCAAATGGGTAGAAGTGTAGCGGTATTGCCGAAAATTATTCTTATGCATGTATGATATCATGGTAGCGTATTGTGTAGCTATATATCACATATTCACAAATTTTATACATATATTATAAGGCCTTGTACATCAACTGCTAACCCTCCTCGTAATCTCAATATTGTATATGTATCCTGGATGCTGCTGCTATATATCGCTGCAGTGACTGCGGATTCAGAGACAGTTACCGAGACAAGATGGGTTAACATGTTCCTGGTGTGTGTCTGTCGATGTCGTGAGGTACACACATGGCATCAAGGTAACTATATAAACCAATGCTATCAATGCACATAGATTACAATAATAACCCAACCTGCATGCATTCAAACGACAAGAATGCTAACATCTATCCTCATACTTTTCTTGATGACTTTTGATTTCAACAAGGCCAGAACGACATGACGGAAAGTCTGAGTTTCTTCTGCCTCTCCGACCAGCACTCAACACCAATTGATGGCCGCAGCGATAAATCGTCTCCTGGCATTAAGTCATTTAGGTTGTATTTTATCTTGAACAAAATAAACTGGTTTGTAAAGAAGAGAAACGTGAATTTGTTGCCTCTTTGCTATAAACAAAATCAATCAGATATAAATGTCCTAACAAATTTGGTGTGTAATAAAAATACACATTGCATCGAAACAACGGCAAAAACAACTTTGTGGTGTTGCGGGTGACAACAGGAAGATATACATAATGACCCATATGGGGCAAGTTGGGATATAGGATGTCTGTTGCCGCCACCCAGGGCTACAGTCTGGTGGCGGTCTCTGGGTGATAGGAGAAAGGCCTTGGTCCCTGGAGACTATCACGGACTAGAGATATGACGGCGTTTCCATTCTCGGACTATCAAATATTGTGATCAGGATTGAAATAAGTCATGTCGCGAGTGGTCAAATCGCCCCACTTGACCCAAGCCGAGGAACAATGGCCGCGAGGAGAGGAGATTTATAGCGCTGACCACCAACTAAGAAAGCAAACCACCCTCGTCCAGCCCACGCCAGGGGTTGTAAATCAGTTGTCTCCTCCAGATCCTTGGTATTGCTGGAGGTGGTGGCTCCGACACGACAGATCTGATGGTGAACCATCACCCTGGCCTTTCTGTACCTCTACCCTACCCTATGAATGTTTTGGCGTTGGGACACCATTCATGAACATCGACTAACAACAAGAATATAGTCGGATTATACGAACAATGAGTAATAGCATTAAATATTAATCTTCTGAAACCCTCTCTGCAGATGACCATCAAAGCAGCAACACACTCATACATAGCGGCGGTGGGGTAGCCAAGTGGATAAGCGTTCACCCGTCACACCGAACACCCCTGTTCGATTCAAACAATTATTTCATAACAACGGGCCACCAAGGTGTAAAGCCTCCCCAAATCCTTGTTAAATAAATACATTCATCTACGTTGGTCGCTAAAAGGAATATATTATAACTCCTTGAAACATATTGGACTCATCATCATAAAAGACTTGCAGGAACATTCATCACCATAGGGACACAATGCGGTTATAGAATACAACAAGTTGAGATGTTTCTTTCTGTGGGTTTCAGATTTTTATTTATTACCAAAATGTCTGCAAACTACTTTGTGGGAATTCCTTCCATTACCGTGGCGGCATTTATGACTGTGAGCATACCAGGGGTACACGACTCTCATTCCACGAGCGGTGGTCCGTCATCAGTTACCGTCGGCAGACTGAAAGAGACAGTCATTCTCGCTCGGCCAATGACAGACAGGCTCTGAACATAGTTCAACCAATGGGATTCGGAGTTTCACATCACTATTCCGTGCATCTCTGTATACTGCACTTTACGAGAAATTTCGAATAATTCGAAAAGAAGGAATGTATATTTATCATATTTGTGAACTTTTAATATTAATGCATTGAAACCGATGTACATATAAGCAAACTATTATATACAGGGTTGTTTAATCTTTTTTTACGATGAGCAAAGACTGACATGCACTATGTACTTTTAAATACATGGGCATGGTCTAACATCAATACATTATGTCAGCAGTTCCACAAACATGGAAATCCCTCAATCAGTTCACGACTTTATCGTTAAAAGTAATTTGAGATTTGAGCAATTTTAAATTCATAAAGAAATGATAACTGCATTATTGCACTTTTCCTCAGACACCACGGACTGCAAAATACTGACTTTATATACTCCGTTTGTGCAACTATATATTATGTTTAGCACTATCTTGTAAAACGTATATATGTACTAACCAGCTGTGTTAACTTTCTAGCTGGAGAGGTATTTAAAATAAGCAAGCTTTGCTTTTTTACCAATCCAGATTTCTTCGAAATAAAATGTATTTAAACCACATTCTCCCACTTCATTCGTAATGGTAAAACAATATTTGCTTGTATTGTCCCCTAGCGATCATATCTTGTAGGAACAAAACAATGGACATGAAACTGTTGAATGAAATCACCCGAAAACGCTGATATGAATGGCGTTTGTTTCTACCTGTTTGTCCAAAGAAATAATTTTGGTCAGATATTGTATCAATTGCGACATTAGTTATATTTTGACCCACCCTCTTTGCTATAAGAACCGCAACTCTGTGTGACCACTCATGAAAGGTCGAAGAGTGGGAATACCCCAGTAGTCACCAACGTGTTGTTATGTATATTACTGCTTTTAAGCAGATCTCTAAACATCAAGCCATTCCGAAAACCTAGCAACGGGGTTTTATCTAAAAAGCCCATTTTTAGGTGGAGGAGAAGCATTATTCTGAAAGTCTGTCAGATAAAACCTTCAGG